GCTTGTCTTACTCCGTTTGTGAGAAACTGAACCATTTATTTTACAGGCCACTGCCTAATGCGCCATAGGTAATGCCGATCACGACATCGCCCAGAGTTCGCAAACGGTTACGGGAGTGGGGGCAGATTATCTTGTATCGACATGGGATCGGCAATTTGAAGAGAAGAGACGCTGTGAGAGAATTCCCTTCACTGCCAATTAGGTACCACGCGCGCTGGAGAGGATACGGACTACAGATTTGTCTAGTAGATTCAGACTGAGAGACCCTAGAGACTAGAAGACTTTGTGGGTAAGACTCTCAGTTAATTAGTCTAGCCTTAGGGATGGGGGTGCGCAATGGCTTGACTCTAGTTCATCACATCATTCGACTGTAAAGGTGGTTTTTGTCATGGTATTCGATTATGCCATTCTCCTCTAGATGACGGAAGAAAGGGAAAAGGTGAAGAGATGAGAGAATAGACAGAACAATATTGGTCATGGATTCTACCTGAAATAAGATCCAAGGCCATCACAACTAGACGCCACATATGATGGACGCATCACCAGCAACGACATGGGGGTTACTCGAACATTTCATCCCGAGAAGTATGAGAATCAGCATGACTCTCAATCAGGTCTTCTCGGCTGTCGAAGGAATCCTTCGATATTGTACCTGCAATTTGCGAATATTTTTATAGAGAGCTACAGATAGACCCATCGAGAATTTTCATCGCAAATAGCCCTTGATCAACCAACTTTCTGGTAAGACACTCCTCTACCGAAATAGTGACCTGCATCCTGCATCCTGCACCCTGCATCCTCCCGCACATCCCTCTGGCTGGGTTATAACATTAGGTAGGTAGTATCCAGAAGAATTGTTCCAGATCAGCAGCGCTTAGAACTAAACCCGTTTCTCGTTTCTACTGACGTATAATAACAAGTTGATGAGTAGGTAGGCGTCGGCACCTCCAAAACTACTGCACGTCCATGTATCAGAGCTAGAATAAGTACAATACGTGTTGAACATTAGATAGGGCGCGCAAACTTCCAGGATCATCAAGCATAGGCATCATTCATGTAAGCAATCTCAAAATTGAGAACTGTCTAGGCCAATTACTCCATCTTAAACCCCGAAGATGATCATCACCAGTGACTAGGAGCTTGGTTCCCTTGCGCTTCAAATGGAGTATTTATCTACATATGTGAATCTGCTGCAGCGCACGAAAAGCCTATCATCGAAGCCATACATGGGCATCAATAAAACTCATTCAAGTCATCAGAAACCTTCACGAGATGCTCATATCTCAACATCGCCAAGAATCTCCTCAAAGATCTCAAAGTTGCCCTCATTCCGCTTATCATAGACAGCGAACCACACATCTTCCCACCAGCCGCCTTGAAACTCCGATTCCTTAAGCACTTCCAACCAGCAATTCGCAACCTCCCTCGGCGGGTTTCCAAACGCTCCGCAACCCAGGGCACCCAGCACGAGCAGACCGTGCTCTTGATGCGCCGCCATCCTTAGACACAGTCGCATCTTGGTTTTGGTCAATTCGCGATCTGAGGGCCGAGAGAAGACACGCTTCTCCTGCATGCCATCGCTTGTTGGGATTTGGATTCTGTCGACGGGCGGTTTGCGCAGAGCCGCAATGCTAATGACGCTTACCACGGGAAGGTCTTTGGCATCAACGTCTGGCCAGAGGAGCTCATGTCCCGAGTCCATGTCGGAGCGAATAATGACACATGCGGGAGTGTATATCCCCATCCGCTGTCTCCAAGGATAGTAGCGTTTGTGTAAAGACAGGTAGAGTGAACTGCGATAGCAGAGGGCTTCTTCTTGTGCACGCGCTCCCTTCAACCATCCTCCGCCCGGACTTGAATGACTAGCCAGGTTCAAGACGGCGACACGGCCAGAAGCCGGACCTTTGGAGTCCCTCAGGCGAATGGCAGCATTGAACGAATCCTCGTTGAAGACTTTGATGCGGGTCCTTCCTGAGCTGGTTTTCCGGGGGCAATCCAGCGACCTGAGCCGGCGGGCATTCTCATAAAGATAGGCTCCCGACTGGTCGGCCCGGATGTGGGGAAGTTTTTTGAGGATATCAGGAAGCACGCGGCGCGTCTCTTCAGCCACTTCCGCGAGGGCGCCATTTTGTCGATATGCGTCATGACGCCTTCGGCGAGATGTCGATGTGTTGTGTGTGCTGGCAGATGCTGACGCTGCTGGGTGATCGTCGGGGTGGTTGGATTGACGACGTGCCGTTACTTGTGGTGTCTGAGCCGCAGGTCGCGGAGGTCGGTTCAGCCAGCCATCCAGTGTCCTCTGGCCCCTTCCGAGTTCCATGTCCGAGTTCCTATTTTCCATTTCCGTCGGGTGCTTTCATATAATGCGTGCTTATGTCTAGTTTGTGTTGTTGAAGTTTACATGAGTTATTGGCTCCTCAGGTGTGTGCATGGGGCTAGGCACCCATGCGTGATGGGGGACTCTTTTGAATAGGTGCTTGCAGGACAAGAAATCAGACTAGGGAGGCTGTGAAACGCAGCGTCAGTCCAAAGCCCCAGTGATAGTGAGAGTTTTCCGAAAAGTGTGCTTCAATCAGACGTGATATGTCTGCTATCTTTAGTAAGGCAGCTCATCACCTGGCCAGCTCTGCGCAACCAGTCACGCCAGCTAGATGCATCACAACTGCGACACTAGCGGTCGGCCGCCAGAAGTCAACTGACAGAACAACAGCTGTATGGACACATAGAGGAACTGGTGCAACTATATATTCATAATCAAAAACACAAATTTGTCCGCTGTTTTATTTTTCCTTTCCTTTCCGTATTGTACATTGCTCATGTTCCGTAACCAGCGAAAGAGCATATCCAGCTAGAAGTACAGGTTCGGCCAATACCTGAATAGGTATAGTGAGGCTTTCCAAGAGCATCGTCCTCAGCTTTCTCGTGCTCGGTCAACCGCCCAATCCATCACACACCGTTTTCTATACAGGTGTCTTGATAGCACCGTCAGGAATTGTCTCCTCAGTCTCGAATTTTCGCGGGATGAGCCCTTCGACCATCTCAATAGCCCCGTCCATGTCAGCTTTGTTAAATAGGAAGAGTCCCTGGATTGCTGCTGTGCTTGTATGCCTATTTGATGGCTTCCCGTCGGGGAATACACCAAATAAACCAAGTTCATCGAGACGAGAGAGGAATCGTTCCCGATAGGTATTGTCTTGATCGGCGTCTTTGTAAAAGCGATCCCACATCTGTGTCGCTTGGAAGCGAGTCGCCTCGCCAATGCGAAGGGTCATATCCACTCGGCCAGGTCGAATCAATGCAGGATCCAGACGATCGATATGATTCGTAGTCAGGAACGCAATACGCTCCTCGCCTGCCGCAACTCCATCCAAGGCATTCAGGAGACCTGAGAACGTAACCGTAGCACCGCTGTACCCATCAGTGTCCCGTTGTCGACGATTCACGAATGCGGCATCGGCATCTTCAAGCAGCAGCAAGCTCCTCTTTGGTAGCTTGGTCAGCAGATACGCCAATTTGTCGTCCGTCATGCCCATTTCGCTGAGGTTAATCATGGCAACGCTAAAATCCAGCTCGCCAGCCAACGCTTGAATAAAGGAAGTCTTTCCACTACCTGGGGGCCCAAATAGGAGGTATCCCCTTCGATATGGAATTCCTCTGTCAACATACCACTGCTGACGGTCCATAAAGTCCTTCACGTCATCGACGATGGCCTCCTTGATTCCTTCGTCGAGTATGACAGAACCAAGAGGTCGTTTCTTTCTTGGGTCACCAAGAGGCACCCACTCCATTCCCCGCGCCGAATAGACTACGGTTTTACCCTCATTCGCCTTTGCGGCCAACCGGTGCGCCTCGCCAAATACCTCCTCGAAAACGTGTCGATGTGCCCACAGCGTTGTCAGCTGTAGAATCTCGTGCGGTTCGCCTGTGTTCATGTTGGCCGTGCTGTGCTTTTCTCGATTGACTGCAATATATGCATTGCGGTGCTTGACGATGTGCCGGCCATAACCGGGCTGCAAAAAGAAGTGCGCATGAGCTGGTCCGCTAGCTCCTGGTATTCGGGATGCGGTCGTGGTCGAGACGGAGAGATTGTGGATTCGAGTGATTCGGGAAGCAATGAAGCCGGGGTTCTCGCGCGGCTGTGACAGCCAGGCAAGGACCCATGGATAGGCGGGATCCTGCTTGCCGATTTCAACATTGACGAGCAAGCGGCGACGGGCGACTCCAATAGCACTTATCGCTCCTTTGCGGGCAAAGGCTGCAGCTGCGCCGAGGGCGCCGAGGCCAATTCCACCCGCGAAGAGCGGGTTATCAAAGAGTGCATTGATGTTGAGCAGCGACGTTGAAGCTGTTTCTGTCGACATGCCGGCGCATTTGGGGAGTAATCTAGAAGTTTGGGCCGGAGTGACGACGAAAATAGAATTATTGTTAGATGACTAAGCGCGTCATGACAGACGACCTTATCCGAAGTTTGAGCTGTTTTCCAATATCTCAATGTTCGAATACAACTTTACGACAGTATAACTTTTCTCGGAGTGGGCCTTCAGCCTTTTCCTTTTGCAACTCAGTATGTATACTTTGAGTTCTGTTATTTTTGTATAGTGCCGTAAACATCATTTCCATTGTAGCAAGCAGAAATCGACTAATGTACTCCATATCATGTCAGTTAATTCAGCATGTATCTAGCGTAGTATTTATGCTAGTCTCAATGATACTTTGCTCACCTCCTCGCCACAATGTGTTTAAATTTCAAGTTATATTTATTTTCAACTTTTCTTTTGAAAAAAAAAAAAAAAAAAAAAGGTAAGCTCAACAAGGCAAAACGAGCCGTTTTTCCTGTTGTCGTCTGGAATATGCCTCCAGGGTAGGTAGGCCATGGATGATGGGCCCTGGGCAAACGTAATTGGTTGCATTTGCCCGCCTCTCTCACATGTAACCATTCCTTGCCGCTCTTAAAAAAAAGCAACAAAAAAGTAATTGGAAGGCGATGGCGAACATCTTTATGCTCCCAGCAGGGCTTGAACCTGCGACCTCCGCATCACCAACTATTACTTGAAGTAATTATTAGTACGAAGCTCTGACCAACTGAGCTATGGAAGCCAACCAATTTTGATGGTCGGCGGTCGAGATATTTGAGTAGTTAGACCACAAACTTGGTGCTTGGTAAAAAGTTATGTGTTGATTACCTACATGAAGTGGAGTCTTGATGGACAATTGGGGTGTGGAATCAAGGGCCATCACTGTCTCGACAGCGATTGGAGGACAGTAACTAGTTATCCTTTTCCCGAACCTCGTACACGAAGCGGAGCTACTAAGTCTAGCGGTGGAAAGGTAACCAGCTGGTGGGCCATGTTACTATGACATGATAGAATCGATGGACAGCTGGATCCCGAAATGGAACGTCTCTGAAAGGATGAAGGCAAGCCTCGCTCTAAGGTGAATCACCAGGAGGCGCAAAGGTTGGTAAGGGGGGTGATGTGTGACGAAGAACGGTCCCACCGAGGGGAAATCAGGCGAGGTAGTGATCGTACGTATCTTCATACCGCCGCATCTCATCTCCCATACCCCGGAATGAGCGTAGGTGGTTGTTTGGACCGGTGAAGAAGAGCACAGGTGCAGCTCGTGATTCCGTCAGTCCGTGTTGGCAGCTCAACTGGCTCGCCGCCAGTTCGTTGAGCTAGTGACTAATTGGAGGGGCAGCCAGGAGGCCATGGCGAGAGGACATATCGCCAAGCATCAATTGACTTAAGCTATGGATGAATTTTCGATGCTCCTGCTCGAGCCTCCGTAAGCATTGAAAAAAATAAAAAAATCGAACGAGCCGCTTCTCTCTCAATTGGGAGACTCCCATAATCGCCCGTGAAGTTGTTTCGCGCTTCGCCCTCTTCCGGGGATCGTTGCCCGGGGGGCGCGCTTGGCCCGGGACGGGGGAGTCCCCAGCCGCCCGGACATGTTTGAGCGCAATGAGACGTTAGAGTATGACTACCTTGGGTAGGAGGGGCAATGGCCGTACTGGAGGGGTAAGCACCTGTAGGGATTGGATAGAGGGATAACCATGCAGCGCAACACGCAGCGACTGCGGCATATCGAGATTTCCCACCGGCACTGCACATGCGTGTTAGCTCGGTGGTTGGCCGTAGGCCCTTCAGCAACTTTCTCGTCTTTGAGGCCCTCGCTCCTGTACCATGGCCAGGCCGTCCAGCCAACCGTTTCGCTCACGATGTCGGATGCGGGGGAGACTGGATGGAGACGCCATGGGGTCACACGCCCGAATTCATCAGAATCATGAAGGCGGCGACGCCTGGGTTTCCCGATGGATAGGCAAGTAGGTCTCCAAATGGAGGCACCCGTCCCGCATGTTTCCGTCTGCTTCGGCTACAGTAGGGAGTCTTGCTCGGCAATGAGGAAGTATCGTATATAAATCAAGTCCGTGTCCCTTTGTCCCGAAGATTTCCTCTTGGTTTCTTCTCTTCCTTTGGTCAATTGAACCTCAAGATATTTTCTCTTCATCAATCGCCCCCCACCCGTCAATCTACACCTCCACCTATTCAAGGTTCAGAGAGATCTTAGGTCTGAAAGCGTGTAAGTCGAGCCACTTATCATCTGCCTGACTCCAATGCCCACGCCCATTGGCGCCTTTGTGGCATGTCCACTCTCCACTATACCACCGAGCATAAAGCCCTCAGGGCTTTGTGCTGCGCTGCCTTCCCCCCTTCTGCCAAAGCTCGAGTGAGCTACTGTTGACCATCCGCCGAGTGGAGTGAGTGCAATTGACATGAGCCGCCGCACTGGGACTTGGTGGTTCGCTACGTCTGTGCCGTGCAGAATCGTCGTGGTGTGGTTGGTGCTGGGGGTCCTTGAGCTGCGGCCCGATATCGCGGCCACTACGAGCGTTGATTAAAGGTGAGGTGAGCTTATGTGTCAAGGTGAACCAGCGCATCAATCAATTCAATTCAACGAGAAAAAAAAATTGCAGGGTAAAAAAAAAAAACCGAATCGGGACCAGCCACCCGCGGAGCTATGGAGAGGGAGCCGGCGGGGACAAAAAATGCTCTGATGCTTTGATGTTCTGATGCTCTGATTATTCTGTCTCTGATTAGGACTGAGAGGTGCGGTGAGATTAGAATTCGCAGCAAGCCCTCTTTTCAAAACCTTGGCTGTTGCTGCTGGTAGCGAAAAGTGAGGCGAGCAGGTGTCTTGTTCTCTACACCATGATACCAATTATTACAGCGACCCTCACAACAAACCTCTCAGCTCTGAACAAGACTGCAGGCATCAATGCATCAACCATCAACCTGGGAGATATTGCGCTCAAACTAGACCAAAGCCAGCGATTGATCCCATTGTCTCCAGCAGGCTCCCGGTGAGCTACAGCAGTAGTTGCACCATTCTCGCCAATCGAAACAAGGTGTTTGCAAATGAAATTGGGAAGCGATGAAAAGAAAGATCCTCCCTTATCATGCGTGGACCGTGGTTTCACCGAACTAACATGTCACCTTGGCTCACCTCACCTCACTTCACCTCATGGCCCATGGGCGCTCTCGGGCACAGGCTCCTCCGCCTCACTTTGAGACGTGAATGCTTGGTTGTGTCAGGGAAACGAGAAAGCAATGGCCAGAATACAGCCATCGCTTGAGCAAAAAATGAGACCATTCTGACCTTCTTCCCTGTTGCTGTAATTTACCCTCCTACAGCTACCCCTCCTCCCCCTCCTCCTTTCTGCCCTGGTCGGCCTTATCGATAAGCTATCGTCTCAGTTGTGTTGAAAACCCCGCGCCAACACCCACGCCCCCCCCTCCCCTCCCCCCGCCGTCATCGTTCCCACTCGCATCAACTAGACTGACAATCTCCTTTTGGCTCTCAACAGATTCTTCCTCCTTCTCATATTTATTATCCTCGACCCGTCGCCTAGCTTCGATCGACCGATTTTTACATCTCATCTCTCTTTTCAACAACCTTTTACCTCCTTTAAAACCTACAACCGCAATCATGGGTGCCCAAGACGTTCTGACCCGCAAGACTGGTGTCATCGTTGGTGATGATGTCCTCCGTCTCTTCGAGTACGCTCGTGAGCACGAGTTTGCTATCCCCGCCATTGTACGTGTCAATCCTCCGTTCGGCTTGAGCTTCTGCATCACATGCTTTTGAGCACGAATACTTACACACAAAATTCTTGTAGAACGTCACCTCCTCCTCTACCGTCGTTGCCTCCCTCGAGGCTGCCCGTGACGCCAAGTCCCCCATCATCCTTCAGTGCTCCCAGGGTGGTGCTGCCTACTTCGCTGGCAAGGTATGGAAACCAAAGACATAATGCCATTTTATCTGTGTATCAGAGACAACTAACACACCTTTCAGGGTGTGAGCAACACCAATCAGGCTGCCTCCATCGCCGGTTCCGTTGCTGCCGCTCACTATATCCGCTCCATCGCTCCCGCCTATGGAATTCCCGTCGTCCTTCACACCGACCACTGCGCCAAGAAGCTCCTCCCCTGGCTCGATGGCATGCTCGATGCTGATGAGGCCTACTTCAAGATTCACAACGAGCCCCTGTTCTCTTCCCACATGATTGATCTCTCCGAGGAGCCCGTCGACTGGAACGTCGCCACCACTGCCAAGTACCTTGAGCGCGCTGCTCCCATGAAGCAGTGGCTCGAGATGGAAATTGGTATCACTGGCGGAGAGGAAGACGGTGTCAACAACGAGGGTGTTGACAACGCTTCTCTCTACACTCAGCCCGAGGATATCCTCAACATCCACAACACCCTTTCCAAAATCTCCCCCTACTTCTCCATCGCCGCTGGCTTCGGTAACGTTCACGGTGTCTACAAGCCCGGTAACGTCCAGCTTCACCCCGAGCTCCTCGGCAAGCACCAGGAGCACGTCAAGGCCGCCATTGGCTCCAGCCTCACCAAGCCCGTTTTCTTCGTCTTCCACGGTGGCTCCGGCTCTTCCAAGCAGGAGTACCTCGACGCCATCGGCCATGGTGTCGTCAAGGTCAACATGGACACCGACATGCAGTTCGCTTACTGCTCGGGTATCCGTGACTACATGGTCAACAAGAAGGACTATGTCTCCACTGCCGTTGGCAACCCCGACGGCGAGGACAAGCCCAACAAGAAGTACTTTGACGTAAGTTTATCTCAACAATTTTTTCTGTCAATTTTTGTGCAGATGCAGCACGATGAAGGTTGAACCACGGCACTAACATTGTATACATAGCCCCGTGTCTGGGTTCGCGAGGGTGAGAAGACCATGTCTGCTCGTGTCGCCGAGGCCCTTGCCGACTTCAAGACTGCTGGTACCCTTTAAATGTCTAACCAATGACATGACGGGTTGTTGTAGTAATATCCCCAGACTGGCTACACATACCCGATGATGATGATGATGCATTGAAACTTGAGAGAGAGAGCGAGATTGGGATATATTTTGGTCTTATTATCAGAAGGACTGAATTCTACGGATATTCGAAAAACAAAAAGAAAGAAAAAATTCTGTTGACTTGTTCGGAAATCTCGGCGCCAGAGCTGCCTGTCCACGGATAGAGGTGGGAGTTTCGAAGAAGAGAGGCAAGAAATATAAAAAATACACAAACACTCTCAAAAAAAAAAAATCAGAACATTATGATGCGCGACCAAAAACACCAGCGCTTTTGTGATGAATCATTATAGTCTCCCAACACCGTTCCATGATGTTCCTTTGGTGATGTAATCTAGAAACACTCATCGCCCTGCCGGCATTCTCTCTCTCCGCAAGACACTAACAGCTGGGAGAGAGTGTATGGCTTCGAGAAACAAAAGTTAACAACGTGCGAACCATGCGATATATACACATCCACTCCACTCTGGGACAATTTATTTTATAGAACAGCACAAGTGAGAGAATGTGTTTCTTTCTGAATTATCGTAACAACGCCATTTCTACAGCAGCCTTCACTCATGAACCATGAGTGAATAACGTAACGAAAAAGAGCAACCACCGTGTAAAACTGTACGCCGTCCTTCTCTTCGAAGAGCTCTTCGAGTATTTGTTTTATCGAACCCACCCGAGTTTTCTCGCGCCGTACCCCCTCCGTCCTAAATGTATAGCACTCCCCTTATTAG